TTTTTTTTGGTGGAACCAGGGATTGAACTCAGGACCTTGTGCTTGCCAGGCAAGCACTTATTCTACTGAGCTATCGCCTCAGCCCTCAAAGTTAATACTTGGGTTACATCCTATCTTGAACTTATATTTATACAGCATCTGACATATGTAGAATATTCTTTTTGAGTATATAATGTAAACTGGCTAAAACATAACGCTGGGCTTTAAAACAGGTTTCCATAAACTTAAATGGACTGACATCACATGCAATATGTTATTTAAGCTAGCAAGGTAGCACACACATGTAATTCTAACACTCGGAAGGCTGAGGCAGGAGGATGAGAGTTCAAGGTCAGCCTGGACTACACAGGAAGTTCAAGGCCACCCTGAACTGCACAGCCAGACCCTTCTCGAAAAACAAACAGAGACGGCAAGGCCCCTCAGTGGACTAAGTGCCTGCTTAAGCAAGCACAGGGACCAGGGTTTGATCCCCGGCACCACAAGAAGTTCAGTGTGAAAGCCTTGGGTTCAATCCTAAGTGTTGTAAAAACCAAAATCACACTTCCAAATAACATGGAGTTCAAAGAAGAAATTATAGTCAAACATGGCAGCTAGTGCATGCCTGTAATCCCAGCATCCTGAGAGGCTGAGGCAAGAGAACTTCAAGTTCAAACCTATTCTGGATTAGGATTTTCATCACCGGTATCCCTGGTTCTCAGGCCTTGAACTCTAACTGGAACTACATCACAGGCTTTCCTCAGTTTCCACCTTGCTGAACAGATTATGTGATTTACTCATATAAGCCAATTCCTAATCTTATCAAACTCAAGGCTTTGTGCATTCTAGGCAGCACTCTACTACTAAGCTATGCCCCTGCCATAAATTTCCTTAATAGTTATGGGTACCAGCACACCAACTCTGCCTTTCAGATAAACCCGACTAATATGACAGACTCAAATCCTAGGTAAAGCTACAAAACGGAAAAATTCAGAAGAAATAAAAGAAACTAAAACATGAAAATAACAGGCAAAAAAAAATCACAAAAAGGTGGAGATTTTTTGAGCTGGAGCAGGGCAGCCTCATGGGGTTACCCTACTTGGATAGGGTTCCAGCGCTGCCTAGGATGTGCTTTGGTTCCTTTTGCCCTCTGCCTACAGGATCTAAACAGATGGTCCACTGTGTGCAAGGACTCAACATGGTACCAAAAAATTCTGAGATCTCATTCTGCACATCCCTTCATCTGGTTGTATCCTTTAAAATATCCTCCGCAATAAGCTGATCAATATACTTCCCTGAGTTCCGTCTGCTCTGTAACAAATTAATGGAATCCAAACTGGAGTCTGTAGAATTCCTAACTTATAGACAGCTGGTCAGAAGTAGAGGAAAAACCTGGGCTTGCAGCTGGCAGTGTCTATGACAGTGCCCTCCCCGGTGGGATGCTATCTTCAGGTAGACAGCCAGAACCTACTTGGACTGAAGCATGCCGAGCTGGGGTCCACCAGCTCGCTGACTACTTAGCTAGCGTGTGGACATTTGGTCTGAGATGTCTCTACTGATTTTCTTTTCTTTTTTTTTTTTTTGGCGGAACCAGGGACTGAACTCAGGCCCTTGTGCTTGCCAGGGAAGCACTAATTGTACTGAGCTAAGCTATCTTCCTGGCCCTATTGATTGTTGAATGTATAGGAGAAACTGAGTTTATTCTTTTGTCTTTAGTGTGACTGATAAAAAAGAACAAGAGAACAGAGATCGGGCTGGAGAGATGGCTCAGTGGTCTAAAGCACCTACTTAGAACAAGCTTGGCAAGGCATCAGGGACCGCGGTTCAATCCCCCAGCACCACA